TTCATTTTACTGCGGAAAAACTTTGACATAGACAGCAACCTCGGTCAAGTGTGATTTTGAAATAAAAGCCCATACATCATCTCACGCTGCACTTACCCCTAGACTTCGTGGAGGGGAAATGACCGCTACAACTCAGTGGCCAGGCCGTTCGATTGGTGCAACGAGGCGATAGCATTATCATTTTCTGTCAGGCCCTACGAAAGGGGTATTGTATTTGGTCCCGTGATTGGTAATTCATACTTCGAACACCTAGTTAGCGGAACATCCAATCAGCCTGCTCGAATCTATTTGATGCGTGAAAAATTCCAAATTTTTTCAAAAAAGGAAGGCCATGAAATACATCAAAAGGACTTGCGTCCGATTCTTAGTGACCTGCAGGAGTGACTCCTGACAGCGTGAAGTTTATCCCCTATGTAACTCCTCTCATATGCCGGAGATGCCATGATCTTAAGACAATCTGTCCCATTACCGGGAAAATTCAAGAGGGCAAAGTATTCGGCATATCAATATATTTTGACAACTTCCTGGAGCGACTTGCTTGTAGTAGTCAAGCCATATTTATCCTGCCAAGTTACCCATTCCAGTTGTCTTCGGCGGTCATCAATTTCCGAGTCTCACCGGGCTAGCGATATTTATACCGAGTCATTTGAGCGACATGACGAACGCAGTGATGATCAGAGCTAGACACGGCGTTAGCCCTCAGTTGTGATAGAACAGGCTATATTGTAAAGTACCTAAACGACGCTAGTCTTATACGAACATCCATAAGTGTCTAGGCGTGATTCAAATATAAGAGCTCACCCCTAGATGTGATGCGAACAGAGAGGAGAGAGGCGAACTGATTTATTGGTGCTGGATCGTATTCCAATCGTCTAACTCCGCTGCCGTGTTGGCGTGCATAGCACTAACAGTCACCGCACAAGGTACCATACCTTCGCCGATGCCGAACCAAGCTACCATCAAGTCAGGTGTACTTTTCTTTAGATCGTTGACCAGTAAGGTTTGATGAAAAACAAGTATACTGCACGGCTAAAATGCTCAATGCATGTCAGTGTAGCGGATATTGCTGGAAGAGCCGTCGAAGTGATAGGACAACTACTCAAGTCGATATCTCCACCGTCCACATGCCGCGTTTAATATTACCGCATAGAGCCATTGCGAACCTGTCGGATGGTCATGGTGTTTTATTTGTGGCTTTAAATTAGCATACGAGATGCTCTGGACCGGATACTATTGCTGGAAGAGACGTCGAAGTAGCAGGATAACTATTCCTGAGTTCATATCTCCAGAGTTAAAAAAAACTGAGTATCGTTGAGTATTGTTCTGGAGTGCAGGAGAACCGTACCACGATTGCCAGATCCAATTGGTTCCGTTTCTACCTTCTATGGTGGTCCGAGGCGCCTGAGGGAGAAAAACCGACAGACCTGAAGATATACCCAATTTTAAGTCCATTGTCGTCGGGCATTTCATCTGGAGCCGCAAAGCGATAGCCTTATCGCCTAGTCGGACCCTTGAACTTCGAAAAGTCCACCTCGAACTCTGTGATTTATAGTATCCACAGGGATTCCAAAGACCAGGCCCGTCCATGACGATGCTCTTCTCCACGGTCTTACATAATTAATATACGACAATGAACATGTTCGTGGGAAAGAAATGCGTACCGATGATGATATCTCATCGACATGATCCACAGCCCCTGCAACTGGTAGACTGCAGTGTGCGCCCCTCGGATGCGGTAATTCTTGCGACGAATGGAAAGATTGTAGGAATGCACTGAACGGGTCCAGGAGCAATTGGCTCGTAGTTACATCCACTGGACGAACTTCAACTTCAACATGGAAGATGCCGTTACATGTGTCTCCCATCGATATACTGCTGCCGCTGCTACCTGCAACAATAGGCTCGAGCTCCAGATTCCGGCGAAATGATCAAAGATCCGATGATGCTTCAACTTGTCAAGTGGTAGTAGATGAAAAGTAATCAAAACAAGTTCGGAGTCGAGTTTAGTGGAAACAAGTGAAAATGATGATCAACAAGCGACAACAGTGAATTTCTGGGACGTTAAAGCCGTTCCCTCCACTAATGTGGGACCACACATTTGGTGAAAACAAGACGTATTGCAAGTTTTCAATCTATCTGTTTAATACTCCAGTTCTACTGTGAAAATCAGAGGAATGCACTGTTACGCATCAGATCAGCTGAGACCGAGACTCCATACCATGTCATTGAATGACAAGAACATGCAATCAAACAAGGTATGGCGTCTCGGGCTGATGCTTTCGAGGGCAACCATGAACGTGAGGAAATGGAACTACTCACCTTTTCCTATGACCTAGGTCGCGATAGTACTTTCTCCTCTTGTTCGTATTTTTTCCAGGTTTGTTTTGTTAAACCGGGGCGGGCTTACTCGCGCTGACGACCTCGGCTCTTTGAACCTTTTGGCGCCGAGGAAGCAGACTGATTTGTGACGATGCCACCCCGGACCCGGCGGGCACTGAGGAGCGAACGGGATGGAACGCTAGCAACACCTGCAGAGCAGGGCCAACGTTCCACGTCCCAAGCCACCACTAGGTCCCGACCTGGATGTCAGCGACCACCGATGCCCTGAGGAGAGCGCTATGTCAACGGCGAGCTAGAAATTAAAAGTGGAACGTACCCTCTCATCTCGCGCCCGAACTTACGAGCCACGAGAGTATCGAGTTAACGTGGGCCGGGGTGCCTTAACCATGGTGCGGGCCAGTGCAACCGACCGAGGAGATGCTGAGGAGGAACAGGGCGGAGAGAAGTCAGACACTTGAGAGCCTCGGCGAATGTGGCCAGGAGACGCGCTTAAAGAGGGTCAAGAGGACCCAGGTCCTATCCCTGCGCCGTCCACGCCGCGAGCGACGTCCGTGAAGGGCAGCAGCTATAGTATATTGTCTCTTCGTGTCCTTAAATCGTAAATCTTGATGCATTGTTAGGGCTTTCCTCCAGCTCCTGAGTGGCAACAGTCGGTCAGTACGCGAATAAGAGTGTGACAAGAAACAGACGTACGTATGGGTTGTGGTCAAAGCTTGCGGTAGGTTTGAACGCTATTAGGTGAACGTCAGTGGCCTGACACATGTGCAGCACTGTGAGGAAGAAACGTACCACGCAGTGTCTGGCGGTATGATTTTGAGTGTGCTAGTCGTGAAAAGGACGGTAGCGTGCCAAGTAGGGGGGTCACACGCCACATACCTCGCTCATGAACTTCTAAGACTCCAATATAAGAGACTCGTACAAGAAAAGCTGTGAAAATGTAACAGTGTATGAAGGAGCAGATGAAGGAGCGGATGAAGGAGTGGATGAAGGAGTGGGGCAGGAATGAGGGAATATATATAATCGCCCAGCACGGCGGCTGACACAGGGATGAATTTTCCAAATATGGAAAGTGGCAGGCATTACGCTGGAACTCTAGACCTTGAGAGATCTACACCCATAAGCACACTTAGGTAGCATAAAGTACATACAGCTAGAGCCGATTGATTCAGAATATTCTACTGATTTCTTCCCCGAGAGTTATATGGCACATCAATAAGCATATTGACATGACTTGTAAAATCTCAAAACGACATATCGATGGGCGAAATCATTCGGATATATGTACTCAGCGGATAAGTTTGCAATTGCTCGACGCGTCGAAGACGCGCTTGGACGCGGAGTCGGTCACATGATCTATACCTTTGGGTCCCTAACAGCGCCAAACATGCCCAATTATTGCCGGACTGCTCTTGCATCATGTAGATCTTCGCGTTTTTATAGATATACTGTGACGCGCGACTAAAAGTCTCTTCTTTGCACAGCTCCTCCATCGTCTTTCTTTCTCCCACCCACAGCACTAGTTACCCACTTCCCTTAATCTGAGCGTGTTTTTGGTTTGGTCTTGGTCCAATTCTGCGCTCAGAGAGTCTGTCCCCTCTGCGTCCAACCTTCCTCAATTCCAACTTGGAAAATGCAGGACTTTGAACACCTTGATTTAAGCTACAGATGCGGTCTGGAAAAGTTAGACCTTTCCCACCATGAAATACCTCACTTAGGCTTTAGCCTTCCCACCCGGATGTATGTTTCCCAGCCTTCCTTTTCTACTCGGTGGTGTCCCTCTCGCCGTCTTGCAAGCCTACTTATCCAGTCAAACTAGTATCACACGTTATCCTCTCCTCTCACTGATTTATTCCCTTGCTGTCTATCGCTCTTGCAGATCTGAAAATTCTCAAGGATCGCTTCGCCAGGACAGTACTGCACGCCGGTCTCGGATGGACCCAGCGGAGCCGAGGATCTATTTTATAATACTCTCTCTGACGAGATCATGTTACCCATCATCAACGTACTCGAGCACGTCCTCAAACTAAAGCGCCATTCTCGAATCTGGCTGTGTCGACAGCGAGCTCGAGCTTGTCCATAGGCTTGCACCTGCTATGGCCAACCGTGCCACTAATTTAGCGATGAAGCCACACGAGCAGGTGCATTCGAAACTTTGCAAGAGGACACGTTGGCGATGAGAAGACGCCCGTAGAACTCATTCACCTCGCAGCTGGTCTCCAATTTTCGGAGTTCAAGAGCGTCGTTGGCACACTGGGAGATTGACGATCTTGTCGTAAAACACGTCGTCGAAGCTTTCTACACACATATATTCATCCATATTGGGGTTAGTTACACGCCGTATTATTGTCATCTGGTACGTGATCGCAAGTCGTTGATCTGCGATCTTATTGTTTTTAAATTGACGCTGATATTCTTGTGTTCCAGCTGTTTTTGTTTTCGTCAGCTCTCCTGTTTTTGTTGATTAGAATGTTCACCAAAGTTATTGTGTGCTCGATTACATAGTCTCCAGCCTCGTCTTTTGCCGTTAGAAAGTACGAAGATATATCCGACAAACAGACGAGCACATTTAGTGAGAAAGGAGATAAGCCGATACGAAACATGTAAGTGATAGTAGGAAACTAAGTAGAGCATATTTAGCGATTCTGATTGTTGGTCAAAATTTAAGGTTTCACAGGGAGCACGTAACCCACGACGCTCTCCAAGGTATAACCAAGGTTAGCAACAGCGTTGCTCGCCTCTGATGCGGATGTGGTGTAAAAGTGATCCGTGGCGCTGGGACTGTACAGACGGTAGAAGGCAACGCTTCCGCATATGTTGGCCTCATACACATATGCCGCAATCATCTCATAATTGTAACCGACTGCAGTCGCGCTCTGCACCTCGGAATATGACGTGGTGTAGAAATGGTCAGAGACTGTGGGGTTGTACATGCGATAGAGCGGGGTAGTGGAATGCCATGGAGTGGAAAAGACGTATCCGGAAGTTTCTTCCCTGGTGTACCCAAGTCTATTGACGGCTTGGTCCATCTCAATGGCATCAGTGGTGTAGAAGTGATCCCTATAAGTTGGCTGGTAAGCTCTTAGCAAACCGACTGCAGGGCCTGGGTGGCACATTATTGCAAAGGGGCTGCCGCTGTCACCGAGTCTGACCTGTTGCAGAAAGTGCTGCGGCCCGCAGTCCAGTTCCGAACCTTAAGTCATAACAGTAAGACGAAACAGTACAAAACTTCAACAAAACCAAATAGACAAATGCGGCTTTTGTTTGAGCAGACGTTTGTGAGTGTTCATGTAACACATGATAGAAACAATCAGCATGCAAGACCTCGACCGACAGTTCCAGAAGCCTAGTTGACACAATTTTTTGTCATCGTCCACCGGTGCTGAAATAGTCATTCCAGAAGTAGGACGCAAGTGGTCATCTTATATGCACGGAACGTTCCAACTAATACACGTCAAAGTCTAGCAGAGTTGGCTCACCTGGTAGATGGTCTATCACTATCACAGCATACATTTACCCTTTCCTTTCATTCTTGTTAGGATTTTTACCAGAATCTCGTGTAAACAGCCGTTCAGCGGTAGACAGATCCCCTGTGATACATGCATTGCGGGTGATTTAGCCGGAAGCAACGAGTGTGCCAGAAGGATCAACGGCAAGGGCGGCCTTGATGCCTGTGTCGTATATGAAGCCCGTCCAGCCTCAACGTGGCTAACATGCGACGGCATCGAGGCCTATTGAAAGAAGGCGCGTGCTATCGGGCGTCCATGTGAGCTAGTAGTTCCATCCACTGCGAGTCTCAAAGGATGCCTCGTGCTTGAATTATGAATTGTGATATTGTCCGATGTTGCGATGACAAGAAGTTTGATCACCAGTTAGTGAATGGCGAATGCAGTGGATATAACTACCATCGCATTTCTTGCTGTCCCCAGGTTTTTGTCCTCCAAAACGTCGTCGTAAAGTCCCATGAACCACTCGCCAGTACTGATCCATCGGGAGAAAGTCCAGCGAGGTGAGTGGACGGAGGTGGGCTTAGTTTCTCCATTCCAAGCGATGAGCACTCCTTCGTCATTGCCGCTTGCTATTAATTGTCCATCTCGTGATGACGCCGTTGTCAACATCGCCTTGCAATGCCCCTCCATCTTCTTTAACATAGCACCTGTCTTCAAGTCCTACGATAGTCTTGTCGTACGAGCCCGTCGTCGATCGGGGAAAACTACAGCTGCTTATACGTGCTTCTCGTGACATTCAAATCCTAGCAGGCGTGTAGTACTTGTAATGAGATCTGGCATTGTGGACTGGAGAAGTGGTGAGTGCCTATGTGTAGTATGGTTTGTATGCTGTGTTCACCGCATTTACGTACCGAACTGCGATGATGTACGGAAAAGAATAGTAACCATTTCCCGAAAGTCTTGGCAAGGCTTGTATATATAGACCAGTTACATCATGATTAGCCCGCAGTTCATACCACTCAGAGATCTTTGCTTCTTACCATGTCAAGGCAAGAGCTAGACGGACGAATTCTCAAGAGGTAGGCTCAACTTTACCCTCGCTGATTGAAATGCAGCGGCGATGTTACTTATCACCCTCACCACAGAGCAAATCCAAAGACAATACAAGACAAATTTCTAGTCGGATATCAAGGATGGTACGTTCGATAGTCAATTATCGCTAAGACGCAAGCCAGAGGGCCAACGAGTCCCTCTGTAGCTAAACTTGCGGATGGATGATCATGATAGAGTATCGCGCTGAACACTACTTTTTCAGGTTCACGTGCAATGGAGACGGAGAACCCATGGATCCTAACCACCACGGATGGTTGCACTGGTTCGATAAGCCGATCCCAGATGGCGGACGCCCCAACACAGACCTATGGCCAGATGTATCCGAATACTCCCCATCCGAGCTGTTTCTCGCCCCAGATCTCCAGAATGCAGATGGAGAGCCCGTATTCCTCTTCTCTTCGCGAAACTCAAAGACGGTGAGGCGCCACTTTCACTGGATGGCGTTACATGGTGTCGATGGCGCGTTTTTGCAACGATTCGCAGGCCAATGCGACGTGGAGGCGGGCTCAGAAGCAATGAGGAAAATCAGAGATGAAGTGGGCGATCGTGTCAGAGAGGCTGCTGAAGCAGAGGGAAGGGTCTTTGCCATAATGTGCGCATACTCATCAACTTAGTCTGTTCGATATTGACTGCGCATTTTTAGGTATGATGTCTCGGGTGTTCACCCTGACAAGATTCAACGGGTGCTCGAGCAAGATTGGATGCATCTCATACGCGATAAGTGTGTCCTAGACAGCCCAAATTACCTTCGGGAGAAAGGCAAGCCGGTCATCGCTCTGTGGGGTATGCTCGCACGCACAAAGTGTGATAATGGTCGTTTAACTTATCTGTACCCCAGGTTTTGGATTCAATGACAGACACCACTCTCCACAGGTCGTCAGATCTATTGCCAACTTCTTTCGTTCCTCCACACCAGGCGGTGCTTATCTTATGGCTGGCGTACCTGGGCATTGGCGCACATCAACATCTGATAGTGACCCAGACCCCGAATTCTTGCGAGTCTGGACAGAAGATTTCGATGCGCTCAGTCCCTGGACTGTAGGACGTTACGGGAACGAAGAGGAAGCGGAACGCTGGGGGAACGAGAAGGTCAAACAGGACTTTGATTTTCTGAAGCGAAGAGAAGACGAAGGGGGAAAGAAAGTAGATTATATACCCGTAGTGCTCCCTGGAGGCAGCGTAGGTCCAGTTGCACATTCTATCATCGCCATTCTTATTGTTTATGTCCTATAGGGCTACAATCTCTCTCGCGGGCAATGGGGACTCAATGGAATAAAGCGAAACGGGGGCCACTTTCTCTGGAAACAAATCCACGCCGCCAGACACGCAGGGGTGCGCATCATCTACGGCGCCATGTGGGACGAATACGACGAAGGCACAGCATTCATGCCCGTAGTCTCTTCTTCAAAGCAACTCCCGATTCATCCACAATTCAATTTTATAGCACTCGACGCCGATGGCCACTCGCTTCCGTCAGACTGGTACATGCGCATAGCTGGTTTCGCTGCTGAATCCCTACGCGGTGAACGTATGTTACACGAGTCATTTCCCGTCAAGGAGTTGCAGGATTATTGGGCTACTCGTCCCAGATATGAGGAAACGACACCGCCAAAGGAAGAGGCGGAGCAATGGAATGAAGCTCAAAGAGCATACCACGATTGGGCTGCACAGGAGGAAGGCGTAGTGTTAGACGAGGCGCCTCCACCATATATGCTGGAAGATGAAACGCAGAGTCCTCAGGCAGGCAGTGCACAAAATACCAGACTAGTCTCACCTGAGGCCACCAGTTCTACCCTCGATCGTTCATCAGTCTCATCTGCGCTACCGCCACCTTCTCCGATGTCAGCAAGGCCTGAATATCCGCCCGGCTTGGACAAGCGTACCCAACAATCCTATCAGCATCCAAGCTCTTCGTATCCCATTGCCAGGTCATCGTCTCGGGTTCCCTCCCCTGTTCCAACATCCGCTGTTGTGACCAATCCCACTCAACAAACATTGCCACACCTTCCGCAGCGTGCGTCAGGGTTTTCCTCTATAAGTTCTTCAGGCATGCAGATGCCTTCCGTGCAAGTGAGCCCAAGCGTTGTACCCATCTCTCCGCTCCCGGCTTCAGCAAGACCCATCTCACCGCTCCCGGCTTCAGCAACACCCATTTCATCATGGTCGCAACACCCAGTTCAACAACGCAATCTTCCAAGTCACCCCCATGCCCCACCCCTTGATTCCCGCCCCTCACTCACACTGCAGGGGGAGCCTTCCACTATAGGTGCACCTCATAGATCTTCCATAGCAACGAACAGGCCAGCACATCCCTACCCCGTACCAATTCCACGCATGCAAGACTACTACCAAGGCCAGATTCCGCCAACACAACCTCAGCCTGTTGGTTCTCGCTCTCCACAACCCTATTCTTCACCTGGATGCGGAACTCAGAGCTTGCCTCCGCCTATACCGTCTCGTAGGTAGCTTTTGTTCATAGCTGATTTTGCGTTGCTAATCGCTGCGTGGTAACAACTCGAAGGTCATCCCATGCACCCACAGCCTTCGAACCATTTCCCTTTGAACCATTCAGCATCAGGAAATTGTCGAGGGCGCGGGGGTAGTGGTCGAGGGCGTGGTCGAGGGCGCGGAGTGAGTCTGCTCCTAAACGCTATTTTGTCATGCACTAATCAGGTTTCTCTGCAGGCTGGTCGAGGTTGAATAATGTTTGACCTCTCATGATCTCACAAGCACCGTGACGCTTCGCTTGCAGCCTTGTATGGTTACGGACATAGTACTAAGTTGAACTTTGTAATTGATAACTGTTGTATCATTGAGCGGACTTTATAAATTATGGCCTTATGCTTGTTCGAGGGGCTGTGGAATGCAGTTGAGTCTTTCATATTAGATTGAATTCAACACGCAGACGTGATCATAAAGGAGATAACCTAACTGATACATATTGGAAACACCAAACTCATCGAACCTCTACAGCTGATTATTCATTTATATTGTTTTGGTAAACATTAGTGATGAACCTAACAGTAGTCCCACTCCGGTAGCATCGTATATAAAAACTAAAGAAACCAGTTCAGGCTCTCCCGTTCCAGAGCAGAGATTCGTCTGCAAGATACCCATCCACGGAGAATACAACCCCCTCCTTTGTAAGCATCTCTATCTTTCTATTGCACTGCAACCCAGTGTTCTTCTGTCCGCCCCTTGCATTTGCGCCAGTGCCCCACTCACCGAAAAATCCGCCGATGTACATATTTGATGCGATGATGCGATGGCAAGGCACAAATGGTGCAAATGGGTTGTTTCGAAGCGCAGAACCAACTAGGCAACGAGATCGTGAGAGGAAAACGAAGAGATTGCGTTGTGAACGCGCACCTGATCGCGGTGAACCTTGCCCAAGAGCGACGCAGATGTCCTTGTACGTCGTGACACGACCGCAAGGAATGGTTCTGGTGAAATCGTATACTGCCCATTGATGCGGAGTGATGCGCTGGGAGAACCGTCATGGCTAAGGAATAGTCTTGGGCAGTCTCAATGCATGCTGCTTGCCTTGCCATTGCGCGTCTTGAAGATTTTGCGTTCACTTTCGCTCAAGGGATAATGTATATTACCTGTGAAGACAGTTCCATGAGTGCTGTTTGGCATGGACCATGGAGTCGAGTGTCATCCTGCGCTTACAGTCTGCCAGGTCTTGCATTTCCTCTGCGACTATAGAAGCCTTTGACATTGTCGTCTTATGTCCGTCGATGGCGTCCTTTGTTGAGAGCAGTTGTGTCCTGATGGCAGGCATTATTTGATAGAGAAGTGCTATTGTGATGTGTCAGATATCAAGGTCGCGGTAAGTAGTACGACGGACGAGAACACCTGACAGGCCGGCGCGTGACTTTGATTCAGGGCTGGCAAGTTGGTGGCTGACATTGATCAAAATCAACGCCACCTCTGTTTCTGCTGCAGAAAATTTAAGCTGTAGCTACCATCACAGATCAGCAGGTTGGCGCCGTGTGATGAACGACTGTGGAGCATGAAATAGGAGATATTTTCAAGGCTACTATCACTCCGCTCCTTGTGCTCCAACCTTCACGCACAGACTGCAGCATTGGTGACAGGGTAATACGGGAAGCAAATATTTATCTAAGGAGCGTCTCTAAATCCCATCAGATACTGCATAATCTGGAAGGACGGCTGGAAGTATCCGTCTCTGCGTTAGATGGCGTCTGCACGACAGCATTGTCGACTTACCCCTGGTGCAAACTGAGGAACCCTAGTATGGAAAACATCAGAAACGAGACCCTGCGAATTGCAGTGAACTCACAGATGTCCAGCCAAAGCTACCTCGTAATAAGTGAGTCCCCGCTCCGAGTGCATCGACCCGTATGCACCCACGCCATCCACAATGAAGCTGTCATTGGCGATAGGCGTCTGGAATCCTTGCAAACCATTCCCTTATGATATAATAAGTGAATGTAACTCGGAGTGTACATCAAACATTAGTAGTCACGCACAAGTCATGCTACAAATGTCGTTAAAGTGATACTGTGATGGTCAAGAATGCACTCACTTTTGAATGGTGATTCTGGTTCTAAGTCATCAAACCATCGCATCAGAATAAACGAAGATTAAGGGTCAAAACCGAAGTCATACCCATCAGCAATGAGATTGAAGTCTGCGAGACCGTGCACGATGACGGCCCGCTTACTTTTCTCGATAACACTCGGTAATACAGTGAATGCAGGAGGCAAGCTGCCGTCTATGGTTTCGAAGATAAAACCACCGCATACAACCCAGTCCGTGTCCACGGGCGCGTGGATAGCTTTCTTTACGTCTGTTAGGTTAAAGTAGACCGGAGACTGGTGATTTCTGGATCTGTGTCAGCTGGGCTGCATCGGGTTGATCATTGAATGGCTTACAGAAAACCTAGAACATCCCACGGAAGTGGATACTTGAGCGGAACAGAAGTTAATATGTATTCATTAATATCCTTTTCGACTCACAGTGTCCCAGATACGATACATATTGAAGGTAGGGTTAATTGTCAGTGCATTAAACCAAATATCGTACCAGACACCGCAGCCTTTGGCAGAATCGGTAGAGTCTCCTGGCAGGGGAAGGAGACCTTTTGGAGGGTATGTGACGTACTTATCCATGTAGCCAGTATAATTGCACGTCGCGGCCTCCTCCTCGAGGTGGTCCATGAACGTCTGCCTGCATCCTATTGATGAGCGACTTGCAAACTAGGTCCGAATGAAATGAACAGACTCAAATGAGAAGATGCTAGCGTGTTTTTTCACGAAGTCCAACGCAGGGATTTCCTGTTGCACCACGCTCCACGAGATTACGGCTGAGCTTCATGTATAAGCCCTTGAGAAGAGACGGAGCAAGTAAAAATGATATTTACGATCATTGATCCATATCCCTTGCAAAGAGAGGTCTAACCGAGTCGGGTCCTCGTAGATATAGTTTGCGATATCTTCATTGGCGTTAGAGCTATGTTCGAAGAAGATAACTGTTAACTTACAAGGCACGTACATTCCGGCGTACTGAACACAGTCAAAACAATGCTTTACCGGACTCTCTGAAAACTTACACTTTCGCCCGATAAATACAGCTTTTTGCCTTTGAGTTCCGAAAAGACCTCAAGGAACTGCTGCATGAAACCGACGAGTTGAGCAGAAACATCGTCCTCGTTCTGTGCGTGCCCGATGCCTTGGGAAAATCCCGTTCCAATTGGTTGCTCCACCCAAAGGACGGAGGAGAGGTTGGTCCAGCTCCATTGATTCACCGTCGGCTTGGCCTGACCCCAGGACCAAGTGAAAGGCTTCGAATAAGAGTAAATTAATTATAAGTTAGTCTTGCCGTCGACAAAGATGCTTACCCCATTCTCTTGCAGCAAACCAGCGAGAGAGGAACAGCCAGGGCCACCATTAGTCCTTCAGGTAGAACATGCCAGGTCAGCAGCGAGGCGCACGCTGCGTTGATGACGCACCAAAAAATCAAATCATCAAGACTCCCTTTTGGGCCGGGAGGGAAAAACCAAAAAAAGAGCTGATATACTTGATATCAGCACTTATAACATTTGAAAGACGTAGATGGACCACTCATGCACACACCTTACGCGTTTCATTAGGACTGTTGCTGATGGGTAGTAGACCTGCCCAGCTAGGACCAACGTCGAAGTCAACAAGCGGAAGGGATTTGCCATCGACATAAAATTCTGGACGAAGATGGATCAGACGTATTAGACATTTACTTGTAGCATTTCAGTCACCTGAGGCTTTTGGATTCGTGAATGTGATATTCTGAACACCGCTGCTCTTTACGTTCTGAGAGTCGCCGGTCTGCCAACGTTTTGCCGCCTCGAGTTGATGTCCGAGGATCTCTTGCTGGGTCATGATACGACCGCTGGCGGCGACCACTGCAAGCAGGGTCGTAAATGCGGTGAGAAAATACATCACTGCAAGAGTTTGTGAGTAGGAAATAACGAGACGTATGGCGTCGTCGTATTGAGAATGAATGGGGCTACCATTCAAGATGAACCAAATGTATACGAGGTGGGTCGCCATGGCAGGGAAGGTATAGCGTCATGCATTTTCCACGCAGCCCTACGTGTGCACAATCGACTTGAACGGTTGAATCGTGATTGATACGCATGTGCGTTGCGGTAGAATCGCTACCAACCAGTTTGGCTGAAATTAATTAATTGTGCCTAGTAGTTCAATTCCAGGTAGTAGTGCTGCCGAAGTCCGGTTCAGTCCGGTTCATCACCAAAAGTTCGAAAACCAGATATGGGAAGCTAAGGTGATAGCATTGCACAACACCCATCAACAGCTACATCAGGCCCACCAAGCGCCGCCAGCACAAGGCATCCTGGGATTGCTAGATCAAGGAACTCAATTTAAGCTCATTGTCCGTCATATGCTGACACTTCTAATGCCTGTTGAATCATTCTAATTGCTTATCAGACTAGTATCATATCAAAAAATGTTTTATTGTTTTGCAGTAAATACATGATAGATTACAAAATTGAGAGTAAGGTGCGAGCTCGAGAGAATGGCAGAGGTAAGAAGTAACATGACTGGTAGAAATACTGCAGATATGTGACATATTGCAGTAGTAAATGTGCAGGTAGGCAAACCTATACAAGAAAATGTTGTCAGGAAGATAACCAGAAAAGAAATTGTGCACGCACCAGACCACCAGATTACTTCGAAGTCCCATGCACTGCGCCCCTCGATCCTGAATTCTATATTGGATCCTATAAGTGGATATATGCACCATTAATAGAATCCTACATTACTGCTAATGACTTACTTTGTTGTTTTGAGAGTCGGATATTAGGCTACATGGTGCCATGCGCAGTAATTCATATGATGAATGATGGGAGAGAGATGTAGATGAGAGACGACGAAGGAGGCAGAATTTGCGAAGTCCGTTGTTTAGACTTGTTGATGTCGGAGCTTCAAATGCTTCAACGGTCGTCGATCGAACACTTCAAGGGTGTTTACCAATGTTTATAAATTTATTTAACAACAAAGGAATACCATGGAGCTTAGTAATTTTGCATTAGAACTACTACTAAGATACTGGGGGTGTATCCAGGCTGAGAGAAAGAGTAGCATATCCATATCAGAGTACTATCATAATGACAGGAGTATATCATTGAATATCAGATACATGCAACAATGGTATGCTACTAGCTACTTGACATCATAATGATCAAGTCCTTCTTTGACCTTCGCAATCGCCATCATCCATGATCATAAATATTTGTCAGCATCAGCCCAATCAGGGAATACCTGAATTTTGAAGTTTTGGTGATGTTCTTGGACCAAATTTTCTGAACGCCAAACCGAACCATAGGTTCAGTTTAGCTGTTTGGTCGAACCCTGGACTGAATGTCACCGAACACATTCGGGAGGTCCGGTTCGCGTTCGAACCGGGTTCGACCAAGCTTGCAGACGATGGGCCGGAGCTCCACCATGAACGCCATGCGCAAACACCCAGTGCACATCAGCAACTGCTGACATGGCTCAGACGAGTGCGGATGACAGACAAGAGTAGGAGGAGGGAAGAAGATGAGGAGATCTTGCGAAGGGTAAGTGGGCATTGGGAACATGAAGTATGCCGACTTGTATGGCAAAAGTTCTTCTGAACACAGAACGAAAATGTACAAGGCCACGCCCTCACATCTGAGAGTTATCCACGTGTTCTTGAACCGAGAGCATTATCGAAAGAGTTTGCGAGCCTTGAATTTAATTTTACCTCTGTCAGAGCGATGATCTGCACGAAAAGATAATCGTCAGTTGACTATAAAAGATTATTCAATTGTAAGGGCACGACCTTCTGACTGTAGTGCTGTAATTTGTGGTCTTCCAAGCGACATGGAAAGAGGTAGGACAAAGGTCATTTAAAGGAGCAACAGTTTCCACAAGATGTGGATGTGGATGTTGTGGACGGCATGACTAATGAGATGTGGATTGTGAGCCCCAGTGTGGTAAGGTCCCTGGTTGAAGGAAAGGCTCCAAGAGTTTACCGTGCTCAAATGTGTAGGCTGGACATGCAACCCGGCATGAATGAAGGGCAAAAGGTTCTAATTGCTTATGGAGAAACGAAAGGACAATCCGACACAACAATCATTAGATTTGCATGGGTCCATTGGATTTCTTGATACATATGCATTGAATATATCAGGTATGAGAGTTTCGGACTATGTCAAACAATTACCTCATGAGTTTATCACTTCGCTCGCAGTAGTCGTCCGCTGTCATGAGTGACTGGAAGAAGGAAAAACGCTACAACGAGCTTCCTGCACAGCAAACTCTGAGAACATGTCAGTCCCCCATCCAGAGTCGAGTCTACATGCACAACGTACCTTGAGACAAAACTATGAGCCAATAGGAGTCAGGGACTTGCAACAGCAGCAGCGAAATTGAGGTAGTGTAGGTGCTGACAGATGGTGGTTTTGGTGGGGTTCAAACACGTCCGAACTGGTTCTGGTTAGCTCCGAACCCCGAACTGGACTTAAGGTTCGGTCCAGGGGCCATGCCGGACCTGTGACCGGACCTTGAGTCTGGTTTGGAAAGGTTCGGGTTCGAACCGAGGTTCAGAACCGAACTGCGGCAGCACTAATTCCAGGGGAGAAACCGGAGTTAGCAGAGCAACAAGCCATGAAATTTGAATAATAAATCCGTGTTCAATTGACATTATTTGACTATTACCCACATGCTGTAGCATACCTGACAGCGCAAAAGATGCCTGAGCTCATTGAAAGCCCACAGGTTGTGAGATCAAAATTTGAAAAGGCAATAAAGGATTGATTATCAGGGCTCATAACCTGTAGCAGACAGTTCAGCGACAGTCGGAGTCAACTGTATAGAGTGGGCACACCTGTAGCAGACATGAGCCCTTGAGGTTCCACAAGTAGCTGGGGGAGTGATGTATTAAATACTCGTAACTGTAATAAAGTGTGATACACGAATCATTCTGAGCTGTAGGACCGCTGATACATCAATGTACTGGGCTGTACAATCCCCTAATAGGCTGAGTATAGAATATGAACAGGCCATTCTCGGCATTCTCGGCATTCTCGATCTTACAAATCTCTATGTAGTCTGTACCTTGTGATTTTAATCTTGTTCCTTGCGATCGAGCTGTGTTTGGACAGCTGAGTGCAATATATATATATTTATATCTACACGAGTGATGTATCAACCGCACAATTGAGGCTGTGTGTCGATGGTAGGTTCATCCTTGGTGTCACTGTCCGGTGGAATGTCAAGGGCGGCACTTACAAACATAGGTACATCTTTCCATAGGTCCTGAAAAGAGGCCACAAGAGACAGCCACAGTGCAGCTTGTCGACATGCGTACGCAGCCAGTCCTTCTTGGTCCGCTGTCGACTCCAGGGTTTGAGAACTACGCCTTCCACTCCACCACTCTGCCTGCTGTTGGAGAACCGGGATGTTGGAGGACCGGGATGTTATCATAATCCGGTGCATCATGCACCGGTGTATCATGTGATACATTGGAGAATCGCACTTGGAAGATCCACATTACGATATTGGTGCCCATTGGGGCAGATTAACTTAGGTATTGGGTCCAACCTCGCCACTTTGTGTTCAATCTCTGTTTCTTGCTCTAGCATAAGTACTTTTGTTCTTCTGCTGTCTGCATGCCTCAGTCGTTGATTCCCAACACTGAGGTACACATTTCATTTGTCTTTTTCACATATACATGTACTTACACTTGGACTACCTTAGCGTATTTCCAACAGGTACATTAGAATGAAATATAGTCGTTGATTCCCAACACTGAGCGTATTTCCAACAGGTTATGAGCCCTGTGTTCTAACAGAACACGGAAACCGGAAATCACAAACTCCTCTTGTTGAATGGCTCACATTCATTGATCTTATCGCATTCTCCTCTGACACGTCTTTTTCCATGATGGAAAAATATGACCATATCCCAGAGCTGACCGGAGCAGAAAACTACATTCCCTGGGAGATGCAGGTGCAGCTCGTCTTGACAAATGATGACCTCTGGTGCCATGTCACAGAAATGGTGGACCTGAACGACATCCTCGGAACGGCTTCAGTCCTGCCCAGCGCAGCCAACCCAGCATCACCTACTGACGCTGAGAAGGCGGCCATACGTTCCTGGCTCATCAATGATTCAAAAGCCAAAACCATCATTCTCTGTAAGCTTGCGCCGAGCATTCACCTTCTTATCCCTCGTAACACCATGATTACGTCGCGTGAAGCTCGGAAAATCCTCAGAAATCATTTCCATCACAATGACATGAGTTCTCAATTTGTGATCCAAAGGCGCATTCAGGCCCTTAGAATGAAAGACACAAATGACGCTAGCAACTACGTTGGGCTGCACATCAGCTGCCGAGACCGGCTCATTGGCATGGGCGCTGCTTACTCTGACGAGGAGGCTGTCTTCAATTTGCTAATGGGCCTGCCATCCACTCCTGCCTGGCAACTATTCCGCATGCAGTTAGAACAACGCATGCATGATAATTTTTCTGCCACCATTGTCAGCTTGTCACTTAGTAGTGGGGCTCCCATCTTGGCCTCGTTCCAAACAAACACCATCACCTTCAAAAGTTGCATGTCGCACATCACATCCAAAGCCTGTTGCATGCTCAACGTCCAACCCTCTGTCACATCAGGTCCTGGATCTGAATACGCCAACACTGTCACCACCGCTCCCAACGTTAATCCTATCACTGGACTGAGAAAGCATAGGAACAACCCCCAATGTTACGACTTGGATGGTATCTGTTGGCGACGCTCAAACAGAGCGTGTGTCGTCAACGGTCGAGGACGTCCTTGGGCTAGCCCAAGGGTAGGGGTCTTACTTGGCGAGGCTTTGGCAAGTAAGATTTGACGTTTATGTCCAAATCGGGTAGCTTATGTCAAGCGGGTGCGAGACGATAAGCTAAATCGGCCAAGGCTTACGACACCCGAAGGTTAATCGTAAGATCGTTGTTAATTAGAAGGACAGAAGTCCGACTAGTTAACAGGGGCTTTGCTCGTCGACGAAGTCGATGAGCAAAGATCGAGACTATAGGCTTATCCGCGAAGAGCAGATAAGAAGATAGAATATAGACTGCTGGCTAGGCAGAAGGGATCACTCTGGTGAGAGTAGGGGGTCAAGAACCAAGTAGATTCAAGTTAGGGAATACAGTACATGGTAGCGAGTTTATATAGAGGACAGGAGGTGTATTAGTGGGTGATAACTCGTACTACCAAGAGAGGCAATCGGTAAAGGGTATAACCATAACAGGAAGGCACGTTCGGTCGAGGTAGAACGTGCTGGATAAGAAAGTGAGTCAAGATCGAAATAAGAAGTGAAACGCGCAGGGGCATGATCGTGCAGCTGCGGATCTAAGTATAAGTCGCATGTGCGATTGCGCACTGAGTCAGAGATCAAGAAAGGGAAAAGGGCAAAGGGGATGCATCGTGCATCATATCATAGGTTACCGTCCAGACGGTAAGGGCAAGGGGACTGTCCACAGGATCAGTCAGGTGGTGGAACGGAGCATGGGTATGCTTCGTCAGCGAAAGGATCCGGCCAGATGTACTGGCTTTGCTGAAGCGACAGGTAGAGAGTGAAAGGGAATGCGAGGATGACAAGGATGACAAGGGTAAGGTCGGGGTAAGGGTATGATGCGAGGGCTGATACGAGGAGGATTAGGAGAAAAATGGTAGGGGCCCAAGCATCTAGATGTTCTTGTAACACCCAAGGGGTTTTCTGCTTAATGACTGGCTGTGGACGCGGGGACCATGAAAAAGAACACTGCTTCCATGAAGGAGGAGGAATGGTGGGTCAAGCACCTTGGCAGAACACCCCTTGGACCTGAACCAAGTGGCACCCTGGCTAGGACCCCAGAACTAAACACGTGCTCAACAGCGCTCCCAACCTTCAACAAACAGTAGAACCAAGCAAAATCTCAATATAGATGGCTCCAACACCCGCCTTGGGGAGCAATAAAGGGAACAGATCTAGGAATCTAAAGGACATGATGGCTCCAAACACCAACATCAACAATAGCAACTCCTCTGAACCTTCCCAGCCACCCACTCCGGCAGTTGTGCCAACACAAAATAGACGTGCCCCACCCAAATTAACCACTAATGAAATTATAGCTCTAAATAACGAAGTTACTAATGCGACATCCAGCAAAGCCTACCTAGAACATATCGCCCTTGCTATAAGTGGTAAACCGTACACAACAGAAGCCATCACCGAAATACTCCTGCACATAACCCAATTAAACAGAATCTCACTCCCAGCACAAACAGCAATCCGTGCAATAGCCTTCGTGTTGGAAGAGGCAGTATTAGATGAAAATACAGACATCATAGCAAGGCATATCACGGCAGCAATTTCCCCACACATAGCTAAGTTACAGGACACCGAAGAGAAGCTAACCAAACTAGCCACAGATATGAACATCCCATCATCAAACACCCCAAACCTGCAACTAGAGAAAATTCAAACAGCCGTGGACAGCCTTTCAGAACGAGTGTTACAAGAACATCTAGACGCTTGGGCCCCTACCATTTTTCTCCTCATCCTCCTCGTCTCTGCCCTTGCATCACACCCTTACCCCGACCTTGCTCTTGTTATTCTAGTCATCCTTGTGTTCCCCTTCACTCTCTACCTGTCGCTCCAGCAGAGCCAGTACATCTGGCCGGACCCTTTCGCTGACGAAGCATACCCATGCTCCGTTCCACCCCCTGACTGATCCTGTGGACAGTCCCCTTTGCCCTTACCGTCTGGACGGTAACCTATGATACAATGCACGCTGCATCCCCTTTACCCTATTTCCTTTCTTGATCTATGACTTGGTGCACAGTCGCACATGTGTACTTATACTTAGTTCCGCAGTTGCACGATCGTGCCCCTGCATGTTTCACTTCCTGTTCTGTTGTTTGACTCATTTCTTATCTGCACATTCTGGTTCGCCTGTGACTCACCTCGAACGTGCCTTCCTTTTCTAGTATCACCCTTTGACCAGTTCCCTTTCTGGTAGTACAAGTTATCACCCACTAATACACATCCTTTCCTCTATATAAACTCACTACCATGTATCTTATTCCTTAACTTGAATCTACTTGGTTCTTAACCTCCTACTCCTAACAAGAGTGATTCCTTCAGCCTAGCCAGCTGTCTATATTCTACTTTCTTATCTGCTCATCGCGGATAAGTCTCTAGTCTCGATCTTTACTCATTGACTTCGTCGACGAGCAAAGCCCCCTATTAACTAGTTGGACTTCTGTCCTTCTAATTAACGCAGATCTTACGATTAACCTTCGGGTGTCGTAAGCCTTGGCAGATACGCTTATCGTCGAGCCCCCGCTTGACATAAGCTACCTGATTTGGACATAGGCGTTAAATCTTACTTGCCAAAGCCTCACCAAGTAAAGACCCCTAACCTTGGGCTAGCCCAAGGACGTCCTCGACCATTGACGACACACGCTCTGTTTGAGTGTCGCCAACAGATACCATCCAAGTCGTAACGACGAGTAGCCGAATCCATTACCTCCAAGCTGTCTTACGCAAATATACTCACAGCAGACCAACACCCAGGTACAGAAGCCCAGAACCAACAAACACAATGCATGGCACGAGAAGCGATAAAAGACAGGCAAATCATGATAGGTTTCGCAGCTAACAGTCCTTTAGCAGCAGGAAAATCATCCCACACGCGACTAGTAGTACGAGTCAAGAATGCACTCAGCAGCATCAAAACGGACGATGAATCACCCAAACTGGAAATGCACTCGGTTACTCAATTCAAACAAGGAGGTATGGTAATTGAACTAACAACCAAAGAAGCAGCCACTCTCATTCATAGCAACACTGACATCAAAAATGAACTAACGCGCAACCTCGACCCAGAAGCCACCTTCAGAGAAAGAACCTACTCCCTAATCATCCCGTTCATGCCGGTCAGCTATGACCCAAGCAACAAAGACAATATAAAACAACTAGAGAAAGAAAATGAATGGAACAAAGGAGCTATATCAACAGCCCATTGGGTAAAACCAGTCGAGAAACGATCAAGTACACAAAGAGTCGCACACTTAATGCTAACCTTCACAGATCCTCAAACGGCTAACTCAGCGATATGCAAAGGTATCACGGTGGACCATATGCTATTATGGCCGAAAAAGAACAGACGAGGACCCCTTCACTGTGCAAAATGTCAACATTACAGCCACATAGCACGTGAATGCATAGCACACGGAGACACATGCCCAAACTGCGGCAACAATCACTGCACCCAAGACTGCTCAACGAAAGACAAACACTTCTGCACAGCATGCAATGCAGACGATCACCCTAGCTGGAGCCAAGACTGCCCTTCTTTCATTCAGAAATGCGAAGATACTGACAAAAGATACCCGGATAACACCATGCCATACTTCCCCACCAACGAACAATGGACACAAGTAGCAACCCCGCCCAAACCTCCACCATACCGCAAACCACCCTCAAACCACACAACAAATGGGGACCTAATCCAGCAACACATCGACAACTACCCACAGAGAAGAAACCCAGCACTGACCAGAGGCACCCCACCAACAAGAGGAGTCCAGCTACCATCAAGAGGCTTCGCACCAAGTCACGCAACAACACGCCCAAGATCTGAATCCGTCGAACCGCACTTCAACCCACCGGAAGTAACCCAATTCAGCCAACGAGAACACGATGGTTGGAGATGATTAACACACCTGATAACACCGCAGTCCATCTACAAATATGGCAAGAAAACCTCAACACATCACCAGACACCCAGCACTGTATCCTCAGTGGCCCACATACAGCCCGCGACTGGGACGTCATCGCCATTCAAGAACCAACTATAGACTCAAAAGGTAACACGAAAGCCACACCCGACTGGCATGTAATATATCCAACTCTACGATACATGCAAGCGAAATGGTCATGTGCCGTAACCCTAGTACATAAGCGCATTAACACTAACAGCTGGAGACAGATCCCCTTCCCATCAACAGACATAGTAGTGATTCAATTCACAGGAACCTTTGGTAAGCTAACAGTATTCAACATATATAGTGATAGAGAGAAGCAGGACACCCCCCCCACCCTTCAATGATACCTTGAGGACAACATCCACACCATCTGCCCCACACACGAAGACCACATTATATGGTTAGGAGACTTCAACTGCCACCATGCACTCTGGGAAGAAGAACACAACCAACACTTATGCGAGCCACACAAAGCACAGGTAAATGCGGAGGCATGGATTGAATTATTAGTGGACTATGGTATGTGTCAAGCGCTAGTGAAAGACAAACCAACACTACAATCTATGAGAACGGGAAACTGGACTTGACCGGACAATGTCTTCTGCACTGACCACACACTAGAACTATTTACCATATGCGATATGGCCCTGGATCTGAGACCACCGAAAACAGACCACATCCCCATCCTCAGCACACTTGACATGGCAGTCCAGCAAGCAACGATGACGACCAACCTCAATTACCAGGACGTAGACTGGGAGAAATTCGTGAAGCGCCTCAAAGAACAACTAGCTACAATACCAGAACCGTAACCAATAGCAGACCAGGAAAAATTCCAAACTGCAGCGAAGAATCTCACGAAGGTACTCCGAAGTGTCATCAAAGAAGTGGTGCCGAAGACCAAACCAAACCCGCATGCGAAATGATGGTGGACCAAGGAACTATCCCAAATGTTAGAATGCAAACACGAGCTAAGTGGTCTTTCATACAAATTCAGAGCGCTACTGAATCACCCAGCACACGAGGAGCACCGCAGAATCAGAAACCAAGTCTCAGAAGCCATCTACAAAGCCAAGAAAGATCACTGGACTCAATTCCTCGAGGAGGCCATGCAACGTGAAGTCTGGATAGCCAACAAGTATGTCACCACCCCTAGCACAGACGGCAGCAAAACCCATATACCAGTCCTCCAATCCAAGAACGCAGACGGAACAATCACTGAAGCCATATTCAACAATGAAAAGAGTTCAATTCTAGCTAAATCATTCTTCCCTCCGCCCCCCACTAACGATTTCATTCCAGAAGACTACATATACCCAGAACCAATAGTCCCATTCGAACGTATCACAGAAACACATGTCGAACAAGCCATCAAGAATACGAGCCCATACAAAGCCCCAGGACTGGATGGAATATGCAACATAGTTTTCAAACGGAACTCCGAAGCACTCACCCCATATCTAGCCTGCATATTCGACGCAGTATTCACACACCGAACGTACTATGAACCATGGCGTGAATTCACGACAATCGTACTATGCAAGCCCAGCAAAGCTGACTACACCACTCCTAAGGCATACCGTCCAATAGCTTTGATCAACACCACGTGCAAACTACTGACAGCTATAGTTACACAACAAGTAACCGACATCCTCGAAACCCACCATCTTCTACCACCCAACCACTTTGGAGGACACCCAGGACAATCAACCACAGACTCTGTACACCTTCTGGAAGCGACAATCAAGGATGCATGAAGATTGAAACAAGTAGCATCAGTACTGTACCTGGATATTGAAGGTGCCTTCCCGAACGCAGTCACAAGCCGTCTCATTCACAACATGAAATGTCGCTGCCTACCTCCAGAACTAGTTTACTTCACAGAAAAGATGCTCACAGGACACCGTACACAGCTAAGATTCAACGACTTTCTCTCAGATTGGTTCCCAGTAAACAATGGTATAGGACACGGGGACCCACTATCTATGATATGCTACATAATATACAACTTCGATCTGGTTGAAGTAGCACGAGGACGCATAGGCAACCGCAGAGAAGAAATCGCACTAGCTTTTGTGGATGACACGGCCTTCATCGCCATTGCTGAAACCTTTGAAGAGACAGCACAACATACTCAGGGACATGCTCGAACGAGAAAATGGAGGATACCAATGGTCAAACGAACATAACTCAAAATTCGAAAACTACAAAGTTCGTGCTCATGGACTTCACACGTAGCAAAACAAAGGAACAAAGACCAATTGTCATCAACGATATAACTATCCAACCATCTCACCATACGCGCTTTTTAGGAATCATAGCTGACCAGGAACTCACCTGGAAGGAGCACACAGCATATGCAATAGCAAAAGGCACTGAATATGTTCTACAGATCCGACGTCTCTCGAAAACGGCTATGGAAATACTGACCAAACTAATGCGACAACTATATCTAATGGTAGCAGTCTCGAAATTTGCATATGGAGTCGACATATGGTTCAGGCCTATACTCAAGAAAGGAACCAACATGAACGTTATGCAATGAGGTTCAAAAGGTATAGCGAAAAGGCTCACATCAATACAATGAATAGCAGTGATAAGTATAACAGGTGCCATGAGGACCTCCCTGACTGACTCTCTTGAAGCCCATGTGAACCTCCTCCCTATACCACTGCTACTCCAAAAGTTCTGTCACCACGCCGCAGTACGCTTGGCTACTGTTACGACTTGGATGGTATCTGTTGGCGACGCTCAAACAGAGCTTGTGTCGTCAACGGTCTGTGGATGTCCTTGGGCTAGCCCAAGGTTAGGGGTCGTACTTGGCGTGTCTTCGGCAAGTACGATTTGACGCCTATGTCCAAATCGGGTAGCTTATGTCAAGCGGGTGCGAGACGATAAGCTATATCGGCCTAGGCTTACGACACCCGAAGGTTGATCGTAAGGATCGTCGTTAATTAGAAGGACGGAAGTCCGACTAGTTAACAGGGGCTTTGCTCGTCGACAAAGTCGGTGAGTAAAGATCGAGACTATTGGCTTATCCACGAGGAGCAGATAAGAAGATAGAATATAGACTGCTGGCGAGGCAGAAGGATCACTCTGGTGAGAGTAGGAGGTCAAGAACCAAGTAGATTCAAGTTAGGGAATATGGTACATGGTAGCGAGTTTATATAGAGGACATGAGACGTATTAGTGGATGATTACTCGTACTACCGGGAGAGGCAATCGGTAAAGGGTATAACCATAACAGGAAGGCACGTTCGGTCTAGGTAGAACGTGCTAGATAAGGAAGTGAGTCAAAGGTCGAACTGAGAAGTGAAACGCGCAGGGGCACGATCGTGCAACTGCGGATCTAAGTATAAGTTGCATGTGCGACTGCGCACCGAGTCAGAGATCAAGAAAGGAAACAGGGCAGAGGGGATGCATCGTGCATCATATCATAGGTTACCATCCAGACGGTAAGGGTAAGGGGACTGTCCGCAGGATCAGTCAGGTGGTGGAACGGAGCATGGGTATGCTTCGTCAGCGAAAGGATCCGGCCAAATGTACTGGCTTTGCTGAAGCGACAGGTAGAGGGCGAAAGGGAATGCGAGGATGACGAGGATGACAAGGGTAAGGTCGGGGTAAGGGTATGATGCGAGGGCTGATATGAGGAGGATCAGGAGAAAAATAGTAGGGGCCCAAGCATCTAGATGTTCTTGTAACAGCTACCCTGCCCCAATCCCACCCTCTCCACAGGAAAATCCAATGGATAACAAAGCACAACATCCAGACCCACTGTTCATCACTGCATAACCTCATCCACACCTTCCAAGTCTTCCCGGACAAAGTAGAAAAAATAGACCCATCGAAACAAACGAGAACACCGGAAGAGCTGATATATGAAATAAAAATTGCAAAAAAACAAGAAAGAGGCAATACCGGAACACAAACAAGTAAACGACACAATTCAAATATATATGGATGGATCAGGATACAAAGGAGGGATTGGAGCAGCAGCAATACTAATACGCAATGGACAAGAACCACACATCCTATGCTATCACCTAGGACCAGACAATGAACACACAGTATACAAAGCTGAAACATTAGGACTGACCTTAGCCACCCAACTCCTAGCAACAGAACGAAATGTGATATTCCCGGCCTCAATACTACTCAACAACCAGGCAGCAATAGTATGTGGATCCTCGACGGACAAGGACAGTAGCGACTTCATCCCAGGACACTTCAGGAACATGATCAAAGCCATCTTGAAATGACAGGACAACCAAAGGAACTTCAAACTCACTGTACGCTGGGTACCAGGACACATGAACATACCAGGCAATGGGTTAGCAGACTGCGAAGCTAAGAAAGCAGCAGAAAACCCACAGAACAACAGCCCAACACGTAAACTGCCTAGATATCTGCGGAACAAGCCACTGTTATGTAACGCCCCAGCATTAAGAGCTGCACAAAAGATCAAGATGAAGGAAATATGGAAAACCCTCTGGACGAAATCCCCTCGCTTCACTTGAACCCTGTGACATCAACCCGTCCATGCCCTCCACTAAGTACCTCAAACTTGTTAATGGCATACCCAAAAGACACGCCAGCATATACATCCAGCTCCAAACCCGACACATCCCCCTCAACCACCACCTATATCGAATTAGCAAATCCATATCACTGCACTGTCCAATATGCCCAGGAACAAATAAAACCATCCACCACTATCTATTTGAATGCCCCCAATACCGCAATGAATGCCATATCTTCGCCAATGCCACACACCATGACATCATGTCCATAACCCACATACTAACCTCTGAAAAAATCACCCCACATCTCATCTGTTATGTAAATAGCACAGGAAGATTCAAACCAACCTTCAGCAAATTGTAACATCAACGAACAATTATATTGAAGCAAATATGTAACAAGTACATACCCAGACACCGTGTAAACCATCAAGCCCCACCATCAACCCACTCTCCCACATCAAGACTGACACCACTCGTTGATATCACTGATGGGACAAAAGAAGACATGTCAACTAGAGGAAGCACCATCAACACAAGACAAATACGATCAGATCATCACTGAGAAGTCTTATGTATTCTCCCAAACACCTCTACTAACAATCTTCTTACCCGCAGCGCTCTTTTTGTGCTTGATCACCTAGGTGACAGAGTACGAGTTCGCAACATAAAGAAAAGCCCCAAACAAAACAAACTATGGTAGAATGCTCATGATGAGACAATGTCCAACATAGGGTCTATGACCCCAAAGGACTATA